GTTTCTTCTGTGACAGAAATGGCGTCATCGCCGGAGACGGGAAACTCCGTCGGGTCCCGACGGCGGGGAGAGGGAGCCGCCGGGCTGGGGAGGTGGCGGGGTCGACGGGGTCGCGCGGGAGGGGGGTCGGAAGCGGCGGCTCGGGCGGCCTGGGCTCCTCCCCCCACGCCCCCGCCGGTGCCGACCGGGCACCCGTGTGTTGACCCGGTGTCTTTTGTTTCTCCTCCAGGTGCAGGTGAATCTCGGGTTTCCGAGGGGATCGCGGTCCCCGCATCGTCATGAAGGTAAGAGGACCGTCCTGAACCTGTGGGGTCCCGGGGTTCAGGAAGTCAGGGGCTGCGGCCGAGGTCGCTGCGCGGGGCTTCCGAGTGGTGCGGAGGAAGGTGTGTTTGGTGGCTCCGGGCCTGAGCCCTTCCCGGGGGACGGGGCGGGGGGTCAGCCGGGTGTACATGCACGGGCTTTGCCGTGGACCCGGAGCCAGTCACAGGATGTCCTGGGGGAGACGGTTCTCCCGGGTAAAAAGCCTCGTTTGTGCGGCGAAGGATAGGAGTAAGTGCACGAATTAAAGTGTTTTAAAAGGTAAAACAAAAAGCAGGTCAAGTAATCTGACTCTGGAAACTGAACCGTTTTGTGGTCCTGTCGGTTAACAGTGATGAAAAAAAATCTCATTTATTGTGCGAACAGGACTGCGAATTTTTAAGCAGAAAACCTACCTGATGAGCCACAAAAATAATCTTAATTGGAAGAGAATTTCGGTGATCTTTACACAATTCGGAGGTAGCTGCTGTGAGTTGTATTTCCGGGGGGTATAGGGTTATGTGGTTTATTTTCCTTTATTGATCTGTTTGCTCTGCAAATTGTCAGATGCTGTGTTGCATTGTGATGTGCGGGAAACTGAAGTCCAGGTTCCTCTTAAACGTAAACGTGTTAACTGGAGGGTAGGGTCTACAAAATAGTACTTGCTTATTTGGTGGATGAAATTGTAGCAATAAAAGTACAGGTTTTTCACTTCGGAGAATATGTAGACGAATGCTGTCTTATTTTTTAACACACTCTAGAGTGAAAAGCTTTAGATATCTGAAATGTCTAGATTCAACTGGTGGAACTTGGACACTAACAGATATTTTTTCATCCATTACTAATTCAGAAGTGCTTGAGAAGGGTGGAGTGTGTTCACAAGTATAGAAATCCGACAGAGAGCATGTTAGAATGTTAATGTCATCTACTTTTCACAGTTCCTTTGAACTGTGTTTTGAAAATATTTTTCACTTCTCTCCAGAATCAAGACTAGCTTTTACAGTACAGCATCCAAATTAAAATTTGTAATTTTTGTGTTTATGGAAGAAAGTAAAAGCTGAGGCTACTTAAGAATTTAGCTGTTATACAGAGTAATTATGTTTAGTCCAATTTTTTAAAGCTTTTTTCTTTTTAAGTTTGGGGTGCCATAAACTGTCTGAAACTGTTTATACTGCTCCGTTGCTGTGTCACTTTCATGTAAATGGAAACATATTCAGTGATGTTTTAGAAATGAATCCTTTTGTTAGTCATAAATACTAGCCGCAGCTCCTGTGCCCTTTGTACAGCAGTAAAAAGTGAATTTATTAGAAAAATTGTAAGTCTGCCTTGGTGCTAGATGAGAATTTCTTAAGAGAAGTGTTGGGTTGACTAATACATAGTAAGTTCAGAAGCTGCATGAATATAAGGTTCAGTTTGTAATAAATATAATCTGTCACAGTTTCCACTGGCACATCTTAGGTACTCTGTAAATGTTTGGTTGAAAGAAATGTAGTAAGTTGAAGGTCTTTTATATAGAAATTTCCTTTTCTTTCGTTTCCTTTTTTTTTTTTTTAAACTTGTTTGTTTAAAAAAAAATGAAAGTATGTTGGAAACTTTAGCCTTAAGCGTTTCATGGTAAGTGTTAAGCGAATGCAAATTTGGGGGTATCATTTTAGAACTACTGATTTTAAATGCTCAGCATTTCCATTTTTATGGCTTTTTAAAAGAGGTGCTAGTAATGTTAAAAAGGAAAAAGTTATTAAAATACATTTCTAGCTTTACACAGGAACTTCCTGTTTTAAGTGTAGCAAGTCTTCTGTTAGGGAGTTTACTAGTAATTACTCGTACTTAAAAATTAGCTTATGTCTTAGAACTTAATTTCTTATGTAGTAGAAGGTGAGAAGCTGCCCATGATTTTTATTTTGCTTTAGCAAAAAATGCGATTCAAAATGTATTTTTTTTTTTTTTTTTTTCCTGGTGCCTGGCTGGTATGGGGATCTGACACCTTGACCTCGGCACTACAACCCTGAGCTCTAACTATTCAAAATGTATTTAGTGTTGATTATATTGGGCTTTTTTTTTTTTTTTTTTTTTTTTTTTTTTCCTGGTGCCTGGCTGGTATGGGGATCTGACACCTTGACCTCGGCACTACAACCCTGAGCTCTAACTATTCAAAATGTATTTAGTGTTGATTATATTGGGCTTAAATCTTCTTTTCCTCATGTTCCCAGTTTCTATATTACAGTGACGATTGAGCTGCAGAAGGATTTATGCGATTTACCGAACCTTGTGGAATGTATTTGTACTTATCTGAAACAAGCTTTTAAGTTTGAATTGTCCTAATAGTGACAAAAATTTTTTAAATTTTATTGTGACAATGTATTGAGGTAATTGAAAGAGTAGTAATATTTTGGTTGTTGCTTTAAAGTCCCAAAATAATAAAAAATGTACATATTCTGTTTTAAGTGTTATATGTTTCAGCAGCAATTTTCCTGTAGTACTACCTTCAAGAATTTATTTTTATAAACAAAGCCACTTTACTGATTAGTATATTCTATCTTGTAATATTTTTGCAGTGTGTTTTTGAGGAATATGACTTGTAACACAAAAGAAGTTTGTGCTTTAATGTAGATGATGATGTTGATGTTATGTTGGCTTTTTTTCATAGTTTTGGTAGACCTTTACACATCATTGATAGCACATTATCAGAAAATGGTGGATTATTTAGTTTTAGATAATTTAAGTTTATAGATAATTCTAAGATTTAATTATGTCAGATTCATTTCCTACTTTTTCCTAATGAAAACTTTTTTCTGCTTCTGTAGTTCGCATGTTATTAATATCTCTCATTACTTTGCAGTAAGTTTTCTAATGAAATGGGCCAGATGGGCTAGGTATATCAGAATCATTAGGGGATCAGTGATCTAGAATCTGGATAGATTGGGATTTTCAGATGTACCAGTTTCTCTTCAATAATCACTGGTTTAGACCACATAAAAATAATTGATTGACTACAAATTCCCTTTTTTAATGCCCTGTGCATGTGTGCACGTTGTCTATTTTTCTCCCTCTTTCCATCTCTTTCTGTCCCTCCCTCCCTCCCTTTTCTCCCCTCTTCCTTTCCTTCCCTACCTTTCATTCTTTCTTCCTTTTCTTTACTCACTTCTGCCTCATCTCTCTTTCAGAAATCATTTAATTAACAACAATCCCTTCCATGTGTCATGCAGTGTTGAGTGGAGGCAAATAAACTGTCTTACTCTCAAGG